TTAAAAACCCTGTAGAATCTTAACTCAGTTCCAGAACCTGGACCATAGCCATAGTTGGCCAGTCCTGGGGTGTATGCTTGATAAACAATCCCTGTCTGATTGAGATCAATGTTCTTGTGGTTTGTGAGGCAATTCCGGGACCCCAACAATAAATGAGTATTAACATGGAAAGAAATAATAAGGGCTTCAAAGGGAGTCCACAGTATTGTTCTAATCTGAAACCAACATTCACCATTACCCCTAGTTTGAACAAATTACACACTAATTTCTCTTGGAAGAGTTATAAACACTCGAATCTCTGAGGCAGGATGAGGGAGGGGCACAAACCAACCAAACTAAACCAAAAAAACCAACCAACCAAAAAAAAACAAACAAAACAAAAAACAAAAAACCCAAACAACAACAAAACCAAAAACAAAACAAAACAAAAAAACCAAGAAAAACAATGGATGGCTAATGGGAACTGTTCAGTGCAAAGAAGAAAAGCACATTTACTTTTAGACCAAAAAGAACTGACTCAAATACTCAGAAGTACAGGTGCCCTCGCAGCCAAAAGTCACTGGGGGCAGTTCAGTCTTTACCTGAAAGTCGTCTTTTCTTTGAAAACCGTGAGTGAATGGCAGTACCGGCAGTCCAGATGCTAAATCCAGCCAGTTCTACAATCTTTGGCTTTTTGGTCTAACTTTTCTTATCTTTAAAACTATCTTAGTTTTAAAATCACCACCTACCTACTAAAAGGAAACCACAAGCCTCCTTTCTGATTGTCAGTCCAGTCCCAGATCATTTCCTGGAACTCAGGAGTCACAATTGAATAGAAGAACAAAGCATGAACCTGCCAGGGTTTGAACCTGCCCACATGAACTCGGAGATTTTTAGCCGCTTAGCCTGTTTCTTCATTGCTCAGAGTATTAAACACCATGAACGAGTGTTTCGAACTTGAAAAGGAGGGTTTCTGTATCTGATGTGATTAGGGCTATAAAAAAGTCACCAGGATAAATATAATGCAGGGGTTGGGGATTTGAGAAAACATATCAAAGCAAAGGTATTTGCGGCACATAATTTTAGAAACTTGTGTAAATCTGATAAATCGTCAGATCTCAAAGCAATCATTCTCATGGAAGGTTCGAGTAATTTTATGCTACCCGGATGTTCGGGATTTAAAATGTGTCCCTTCTCTATACAGCTCTCGACATTTTGGGAAACCACTGTGTGCATCAATAAATAAATCATCAATAAATAAATTCATCCAGACAGTCTCCCAATGTCTTCCCCATACCCTCAAAGTGAAGTACAAGCAATGAACAGTGGTATACAATGTGATGTCCTCCACCTCTTCAACCGGTTTAACTTCACTCCCACACCAACTTGCTCAGTCTACGAAGCTTGGTAGCTCTTTTGCTCTTGGCAGCTTTTTCAGTCTTTAAAGACTTCTGCTTCCCTCAGGGGTGCTGTGTGAAACTGCCCCATCTTTCTCCATCCTCCTCCTCTCTGGCCACCTCTTTTAGTGCTCAGTCTCAGGTATCATTTCTTCTGGTTAACTTCAACATTCTCACAGCGTCTGAGCATCCCCAGTGTAAAGCCTCCCACCCTTGTCCCACTGCTTGCCTCTCCCACTAAAATGCAGAGCTCTGTAAGTTGGAAGGGCCATTGCCTTTTCCTCTGTGGACGCGCTAAAGAGACATTTAAATCAACTAAACTCATCCATTTAGCTCTGGTCTGGGAAGACTTAAACCTCGACTGCAATGGCTTCCACATCTCGAGGATGGTTTCTGCATACTGCCCTAACTCGAGTTCCAGGGTCTAGGGAGGCTGGCGTCCACATTATACACGCCCGAACGGTAGATATAACGACCACAGAGTATCTATCCACCCGCCCGGGGGAAACTGAGCCCAGATCTCAGGAGAACAGTGCTGCGCGTGCGCAGGCCTAAGAGGGCCGGGCGCCACAAGGACGCGGCGAGGCCAGGCGGGTGAGCCGCGATTCTCCAGGCAAGTGCAGGCCTTTCCCCAACCCGCTCCCAGCAGATGCCGCCTCCGGCAGGGGCGCGGCCGCCATTCCCAAGCCCTCCGTCTCTTGGTTGCGCGCGCGCCTCCTCACCCTCGCAGCCCGGCTGTCCTCTGGAAAGGCCCGCGCGCCGCCGAGCACACCTCCCGACCCGGATGCAGTCCTGACGTGCCGGAAGTCCCGCCCAGCGTCCCAGCGCAGCGTCTGGGGCCTCCGATGTTCCACTGGAGCTGTGGATACTTCTGCTGTTGCTCAGTATAGGACCCCCGTACCATAGCACCATTGCTCGAACGCTGCCTCCTCCCTCCTTCACTTGCCTATTTCTTGTCCTTTTCAGAGGCCTTCATAATCCTTCAACACCCTATGCCCCATTTTCGTTACTTGAACAGCGTTGGCATTTACTTCTGGGTCCCATTAACTTCAGGCAACGACATCGTCCCATCAGCTTTCCTAGGCTGTTTTTTGTTTTTGTTTTCCCCATGAGAGCTCCCACGAGCCTTACCTGTGTTTAGGTGAGGAAGATCTTGGTCCACTTGTCTCAGCCTTCCTTCCTTACCATCTTTTTCTGCACATGTTAGTAGTCACTGCTTGTCTCCTTTTGATCCAAATACATTTCGTGTAGACATGGGCATCCGTATATGTACACTGTGTGTGAGGGTTAATTTTCATTGTCAACTTGACTATGTTTGAAATCACCTAATGACACACCTTTGGGCATGTCTGTGAAGGTGCTTCCAGAGTTTGCCCTAGGAAAGGACCTATCCTTAATGTGGGCTTAATGTACCATCGTATGGACTAAGGTCCTAGGCTAATGACAAAGGGGTTAAGGAGAAGCCAGATGAGTGTCTATATTCATGTCTGCTTCTTGAGGATGAATGACCAGCAGGCTCATGTTGCTGCTGTCGTGCTTTTCCCCACTATGATGGACCATATCCTTAAACCATAAACAAAAGTTAATCCATCGTAAGTTATTTTTGTCACAGCAGTGAGAATACACATGAAAATGAGCTAACAGAATAGTTTACATGCCCGGAACCTCTTCTGTGGGATCGCTGATGACTCTGACCCACAAACCATAGCTATTAGAGCACCATCTAACACACTCTCTACCCAACGTTGCAGTCTGTAGTATTACTGAGGCCGCTGAGGGAGACCCACCTCTCCTTGAGGCATGGGGCAGGTAAGTAGTGTTAAAGCACTATTCCAATCTGTTAAGATCGCTTTGTGTATTAACGTTTTTATTGTAGGCATTGCTCTATAAGACACTGTGGAACAGGCTGCTGGCAGATTCAACCTTGTGGCCCTGCTGCTTTGAGCAAAAAGACTAAAATAGTCACCCTGACTTCTCTATGCCTGCATTAGTCATCCAGGACACTCCACAGATACTGTGGTGGCTTGAATGACAATACCAACAAACTGCATGCTTAGTTATCAGTTGATGAACTGTTTGGAAGGGACTGTGTCCTTGTTGGGGGAAGTGTATCACTGCTGGGTGGGTTCTGAGGTTTCAAAAGCTGCCTTGTCCTGTTTTGTCTTTCGTCATCTGGAGATCAGGATGTAAAGATCTCACATACTGCTTCAGCACCATGTGTGGTACCATTATGTGCTACCATGACCCCAGCATGAGGGTAAGTCTGACCCTATGAAACTGTAAGCAAGCACCCAATTAAATGCTTTTTAAAAAATGAGTTGTCTTGGTTATGGTCTCTTCACAGCAGTAAAACAGTGACTAGGACCTATGTCTTTAGATGACATCTCTGATAACTATTCTTGGTTGTCAAGTTGACTGTATCTGGAATTAACTAAAACCCTCACTGGAGACATATAAGGATTTTTTTTTCATTTCTTTTTATTGCCCTTTCTACCCCCCTATCTGCCCCCCTCCTTTTTTTTGAGACAGGGTTTCTCTGTGCACTCCTGGCTGTCCTAGAACTGAAGGCCATAATGGAGGAATTGTTTTCCTAATTAAATCATTTGAAGTGGGAAGACCTGCCTTTAATCTGGGCCATACCTTCTGCTGACAGCCGATAGAAAGGACATGGAAGAACAAAGCTTGCACTTTTTGCATGCTTGCCCTTGCCCTGCTAGCAATTCCATTCCTTCACTAGCATCAGAGCTCATTTCTTCTGTACTCTGGCATATACTGAAGACCAGCTATCCACCCTTGTGGACCGAACAACTAATGGATTCTTGGACTGTTCATTGGTAGACAGTCATTGTAAACCACTCTAATAAATCATATATATATAGTGTGTGTGTGTATTCATTCTATTCATTCTATCAGTTCAGTTCCTGTAGAGAATCCAAATACAACCATACCCCATCATTGCCGAATACCCTACAGTCTGAAGGTGCAACCTAAGGCAGGTCTAGATCAAACAATTTGCATCAGGCATTTTGTTAACAAGCCTTATACAATAAGTTTAAGACTTGAAAACTGTTCCAAATTAAATTAATAGGTATTTTTATGTTTTACATGGGCAGTGAGGTAGGACCAAAAAATATTGTTATGACCCAGTCTGTAGAAACAGGAATACCCTGAATTGACTGCATTTTAAAGATCTGATTTGAGGCTCAAACTTGGATATAATCATCTTCAACAATTTAAGAAAATTAAATGAGGCGTGAGTCACCAAGACTAGTCTGTTAGCTCTGAGACTAGAGGAACATCCTAGAACCAAGCTCCTCACAGGGGCCAAGGATTTTCGGACATTTTCTGGGTCCAGCTGACAGCTTGTAAGTCCAAACAAAAGATCCACTCTCTCCAATTGAGACATTATCAGGAGACCTTCAATATCTGCTCCAGTTAGAAGTAACTTAAAAATTATTCAAGGATCTTCTTGATTTATGTCAATAATTCAGTTAATTTACTGAAGAAACAAAGATTATAAATATTAACACTCATTAAATTTCTACTCAGCAATTTTACAGTACAGAACAAAACAGATCAACAAATTCATAACACCAGGTCTATACAAAGGCATAAGTCAAGACGTTTAAAGTGGAAAGTCAACTTTATTTATAAAAGTTTTCTATACAGAAAGATGCCATCCCACCCCTTTAAATTATTGTAACTGAAACATTTCACACAATATTTGCACGGTTTAAATCTACCTATATAAAGCTGAACAACAGTATTATGGGATGAGCAAAGGACCCCACAAAGTTGGCCTAAGACATTAACAAAAGACATAAGACAAAAGCTATCTAGCATTAATGATCTATTGACAGACAGAATGAGAAACTAAGAATCATACCTACAGCATGCTACTCCACCAAGAAATGTCTGGGCGAGGCGATTGCTTCACAATAAACTAGAGCAGGTTAGGTTGTGACTATATGGGCTGATTTTTGTCAGCTAACAGTTACACTGATTTTATAAAACAAATCCTTGTAAAACAGGGAAGACTTCCTACCAAGGAAAATATGTAAATGTTCTAGTCTCACTGTTCCGGTCAGTTAATAAACAATGGCATAAAAAGAACTTAAAACCACAGACAATTGGTTTCCAGAATTAAGAGTTCTCTCTGAAATCAGGGTATTGCCCTGTACAGTTACCTATAAATTTCTTTATAGCAGAAACGATGTAGACTAGTTAACCAAAGAGTTCAAAATAAATTACCCAAAGACCAATTTGTTAGTTAGATATAACTGTTACTTTAAAAAAACTCTTAAGTTTATATAGGAAGTTAACACTCAGGTCGTATCTAAATGGTAAGGTATTCCAAAGCTTTGGAGAAAATCCATCCCTGAGCTGTGAAAGAGCTGTGTAAATGACACAGGCAACAGTCCTGTGCCCTTTCATAGCCTTTACCTATTAGTCCTGGAGTGCTTCAGCCTCTGATGATCTGATCTACAAGTATAACTACAATTAAAAAAAAAATCAGATAGATGAAAACTCTGGTTTTATTATCAACTTTACTTTTTTTTTTTTTGTCAACTGCAAGATGAGCCTGCTGAAACACGAATATTCCAGTCACAACAGAAATAGTAACTTCTGGGCTTTTCTTCTTCTGAGTCTCTGATTTCCCAATGATGTTCAGCCAAATAACAAAAGCAATACAATAGTAATTGAGTTTACTATTATCAATGGCACTGAAAGGGAAAAAAAAAAAAGCCTGTTAGTATAAAAAACAAAAACAAAAAAATTAAGCAGCAATAAGTAGCTTCCAAGGAGTATGGAAGTATCTAACAGTATACATCATAATCATACAGTAATAGAAATAACAGAAAAGTACACAATCCTAACACCAAAGACATTATCTTTTGGTAGATGAAGGTGAACCAGGGATGCCTCTGTACCCCTCCCAAAGGATGGGACTGGAGGTTTGGACCACCATGCCCTGCCTCACTGCACATCTGGATGTGTGGGGCACCACTAGATGGTTCTGGTGCAGCTCTGGGAACACAGAGGACCAGACAGATCAGCACAGCTGCACACTTGAGAAGAAATACAGTTCGAAGAAGGTTCTGCAGGTTCATCAGAGAATCAAATTATTAACAATGAATCCTAAGTTATGATTAAGACATGAAAAGTCTCTAATCCCAACATATAAATACAAGGTGTCTGAACTCTTTCTTGATTGAAGAGTTGCTCCAAAGTAGTTTTCAATACAATGGCACATACAGAACCTTCATTTCACTCTTGGAAAACCTGCATGATGCTACATTACGAGGTAGAAGCCACAGTTTCTAAGCAGTAAGGACATCATTTTGTCTTTCTGCCCTGACAGGAAACACATGGAGTGTACTAGTAACACTGCATCTCCTAGAAGAAAGACGCAACGGAACAAAGAGGCCAGCAACTGAAGCAGTGAGTCCAGGTTACAGAACAAAGAGGCCAGCTACTGAAGCAGTGAGTCCAGGTTACAGAACCCACATTCCGTTACAAAGAGAACCGACAGCTCCCACTCTCCATGCTTGGCGTCTGAAATCCGACCACCAACTGTAACTTCAAATGTCCAAGTTCTTACCTCTCATCACGGTTCTTACAGATCGAATAAGGTTCATTAGCTGAGATTTAATTCCTGGCTCCTCTCCGAATCCACCAATTCCCTGGTCTGTTCCCCAGCCAACTGTGCAAGAGAAAGATGATTAGCTGAGCTAAATGTCTCATGCACTCGACTTGTTACCTCATTAGCCATCTTATAAAAATTAGTTTGAGCCCTGTGAAGATATTAAGTATAAACTCATACATCTTAAAGTCAAAATATTGAGTTTAATGGTTTTTTCTTTTGATAGTGGCATTAACCATATTTTCTTCATTCAACTATGAGTTTATAAAATCTACAGTTCAAATGGTTCCATGGCATTCGATTCAGTAAAGATGGCAACTGTTACAACCTGACTTTTTTCTTTCTTCAAAATTATCAAAGGAATCTTTTGTCAATGCAGAACTAAAAAAAAAAGAAAGCATAATACTAGGGGGAATAATTCAATTTAAAAGTTATACTACCTAACAAAGTACCAATATGAAAATGCCTCTGTGGGCAAATGTTAAAGTGTGGTTTAGGTAGGCCTTCGGAGCACACCCTTTTCCTTGATCGTCCTTCACTTCTGCATTCTGAGCTATGCTCTGTAAACCAGTCCTTTACCTCCCTCCGTCTGTCATTCCCTGTTACAAACCACTTTTAGCTGGTATATGCTGGTTCTTTAAAGTGTTTGTTACTTCTTCTAATGAGTGCCCACCTCAGGTCCTTCTTCCACTCTCCCATGACTAGAGTTTAATTAATTCCTGGCATGCTAACCTCTAATCATGATGACTGAGACCAAGTCTCTTTATACATGAAAGAACCAAGGACCAGGCAATGCTCACTTGATGAGCTTTTGATTGGGTTTATTGGGTTAAATAATGGCTGCCTGCATTTGTGTCATGCTGTGACATAACATTAATTTAAACTTCAACTTCACAAAGAGCCAATTTTAGTGCTGACACTCCACCACTCCAAGCCTGGCTGAGGGTCTGCTTCTAGCTCTTCAGCTTCAAGGATGTTAGTGGTTTTTGCCCTTTTTGCCGTTCACCACAGATGGTCAAGTTAAATGTCTCTTAAATTTCACTGCTTCAATCCCTTTACATTTTTCTCTTAAAGAGTTAGGACTTTTTATCTCAGAATTGGATAATGATGTTCACTGGACTGCAAACCCCTTAAATTGGTATTCTGGAATGTGCTAATTACCAATAATCAGCTTCGGCATCCATTGGGTGGGTAAACTGAGGCAGCAGCCAATGGGAGTCAGTGCTTAGAGCCACAACTGGGAGTTGGTCCAGATACTGATGGGACTGTTGCCTATAGCAGCCAGTGATTAGAGATATTACTCAGCAGCTTTTCTCTGAGGAGCAAAGCTTAGTTTATAGGGGCTGGCTTAGTCTGTAACATCTGGGCTTTCCTAATGTGTCCAGGTCACAATAAACCTTCCTTCTCTTTATTCCTCAAATCCCATCTACTGTAAAGACTCTTCTCCTTGGTTAGGGGGTTTCAAGCATTTCCCATTTTATTACAGATTCCTGGAGGACAGGGACTCCAATTCAGTCATCTGTCTCATGTTTCCACTCTCCCCCATACCTCAGCCTTTAAGTACTCAGCAAATGCTTGTGGAACTGAACTGAATGTTGAACCAATCTTGCAATTCTGGGTAAATCCCACTTGATCATGATGAATGGTGTTTTAATACATTGGTGGATTTTTTACATAAATATTCATAAGAAAGTTATACATATTTTATTTGTATGAGTATGTGTGTGTGCTTGCTTGATTTATGTGTACCACATGCATGCAGAAGCCAGAAGAGGGCACTGTGAGCCATGATAGAAACCCAACCCAGGTCCTTTAACTGCTTGCTTTTTTACTGAGATTGAATATGTTCTCTCAAAAACAAACGCTCCTCCTCCTCCATTTGATGCGTGTATGCTCAAGAGGACTCAGAAGTGTCTGATTCTTACAGAATCACCACTAATCACAGCTGCTGTGCTAGAGGAGAGTTCAGGAACCATCTGGAGCTCTCTCCCTCCGTTGGGAGTCCTGCTTCCAGATCCTGATGTGGTTTAGTGGGAGAGCACATACATTGTGTGCACGAGGCCCTGGGTTCAAGGGAAGGTTTTTCCACCTTAAAAACAAAACAAAACTTTTATGTGTATGGATGTTTTGTCTGTATGTCCATGTAACACATGCGTGCCTGGTGCCTTCAGAAGCTTGAACAGGGCATCAGATCTCTTGGAACTGGGGCCACGGGTGCTTGTGAGCACCATGTAGGTGGTGAGAATTGAACCCGGGTCATCTGAAAGAGCAACAAGTGCTCTTAACTGCTGAGCCATCTCTCCAGTCCCATTTTTTCACATTTTAAAATAATTACCTAAGTATATACAATGTCTCTTGGTATGCTCTTTAAGGGAAAGTTTGTGTTCTTTCAGAAGCCTGGCTTCCCATGAAAGCCTGCCTGTCAGGCGGTCAAGTCAGGCCAGGGTCTACTGGCAGACTCCCTGGCCTGTTAACCATGGACTGGTAAGAGGGGATACACTTGAAGCTCAAGGCGAGGGGCTGAATGTTCTGCTAATCTTGGAGGAAGCAACAAGGAGGAATATGGAGGCCTCAAGAAGGGTAGAGATACTGAATGTACATCAGCCACTGTCTCTGCTGGCTTGTGACTTTGTTTCCCACGATACTGTACAGTATATAAAGCCTAAGAGAATTAAACTTGGGGTTGCCCCAGTACTGACTGGACAAGCCTCTCAATTTCTAACCTATGTCTCCGAGTCTTTCCTATAATCCTCACTCCCCCCTCAGAGGACTGCTCGACTTCGCACCAGCCATCCTGGTACACTTCCTCGTTCTCACTTAGACCCTCTGTGCTCTTCCAACTGGCTTGGGTGTTTGATATGATAGGTCAAGACTCAATCATTCCTTCAAACCCACCGTTCTGTATAATTAGTATGTTATTATACTGTCATTATTTCTTTTTGGAAAATCATTTCTTAGTTGGGATGGGGAGAGAGTTCTTTTGCTTGGTTTTTGTTGTTCCTGAGACAGGGTCTCCAAAGCCAGCCTCCACTCCCTATGCAGCTGAAGATGACCATGGCCTCTGACCCTCTGCTTTCACCAAGTGCTGGGTTGTAGGAACATGCTGCTGTGGCCAGTTTTATGTAAGGAATCAAGGCCAGGGCTTTCTGCATCCTAGACACTGTCTCTACCAACTGAGCTATACCTCCAGCTGACAATCATTCATTGACAGGACCATCCTTCAAGAAGCAAAACTACAACAATTAGTTGGGTGCCAATTCTTTTTGTGCCTTTCTGTGCTGTGACTAAAAGGCATGTGCCACTCCTGCGTAGCTGAAAACTGTCATTTTAATGAAACTCCACTGTCTAGGTCTTCTGATTGGTCCAGTATGTTTTCCCGCCAGCTGTTCTACCTCCACTTAACATTACATACTTGAGGAGATCTGTAGTCCCAGGAGTCAGTTCTGTGTGCTCCCCTTCTGCTAGCACTCTATTTGCCTCTCTGTAACTGTGTTAACTGGTAACTGTGTACAGTGCCTGCAGATCTCAGAAGAGGATGCTGGAATCCCTGCAACTGGAGTTACAGGTAGCTGTGAACCATCATGTGAGTGCTGCGAACCGAATCTAGCTGCACTGTTAGAGTAACAAGTGCTCTTAACCACTAAGTCATGTCCCCAGCCCTTTTTTCTAGTAATTTTATCTTCTCACACAGCTTCATTTACTATCTGTACTTAAAACAACTATCAACTATTCTGTATCTATTTGCACATCCCAAAGAAATCTTAAAGAGGACATGTCTAGGCTTATTCCATGATTGTTTTGCTTTCTGATCTAACACCATGATCTAATTTTCCTCCAAGCTTTTCCTAACACTTGGCTTCAGCCAGAAAACCAGCAAAAGTTTTTGGTTTCATCTATTCTCCCTCATCACCAGTGTCCAATATGCTCTTTGTGTGTGGCTGGGGGCAGCAGGGACTAAACTTAGTCCTTATGCACAAGAGCTTATGTCTACCCTCCCTTTGGATTTCTGAGACAGGGTCTCACTAACACGCCCAGTGTTCATTTTTAAACTCACTTTTTAGCTCAGTTTGGCCTTACCATTTTAAGCCTCTCTAACAACAGGTTGTCTTGTTTTCTGGTCTGTATTAGTCTCCTAGGGCTGCCTGACTAAAGCAACATGAACTAATGCTTAACACAATAGAAATCACTTTCCTACAGTTTTGAAGGCCAAGTCCAAAATCAAGCAGAACCTACTCCTTCTGGCAACTGAGGGGTAATTCTGTCCTTGCTTCCAATAACATCTGTCTGGTAGATGCTGGAGCTCCTGGAGGGTTCCTTCGCTTGAAGCTGAGCCACTCCAACCTCTGCCTCTGCGATTCCACTCTCTTCTTCATGAAGTGTATGTCTGTGTGCCTCTGTGTCTCACTTTCCTTGTAAGGACACCAATGATTAGATCTAAGGCCTACCACCTAATCCAGTTATGAAGAGATCAATTTAATTATAAACTTTCAAAGACGGTGTTTCTAAATAAGGTAACAGTCATAAGTACCGCAGAGTTAGAACACAATTCAACTCATCACATGATCACGGAGAGTTTTCTGTATAGTCAGTCCAGAGGTAAAGAACTGGACTCTGCAGTCAGTATGCTCAGCTGTGCTACCTTCTACCCATGTGATCCTACAAGCCCACACGAACACACCCACCCACGTGCTCACACGAACCCACACACACATACACACACATGTAAAACACCTAACACAAATCCTGCACACATTAAGGTCATACTCCTCTACCGCCCTATCTGAGATGGCACTTTCCAAATCCAGTCCTCTCCTTTCCCTTCACTTCTCCACAGTAAACCTGAACAGGGACTCAGTAACATAAATCTGGCCAAGTCCCTGTTCACAACTATTCCACCTGCCTTGGTTTTCATGCCAGGGTGACACTGCACAAGGCTTCGGCCTCCAGACTTTTCCCAATCCTTTTCCTTCACCTAGTTAATATTTATTCACATATCAGACTTCGGGGCAGACTCACTTCCTCCAGGTCTTTACAGATTCTCATTTTCCTTTATATAGCTCTACATCTTTCTAATATTTAGCATATCTGTTACTCATTTTAAATTAGACTCCATTTTAAGGGCAGATGACCTCTGTTACATAGGTCTGGTACGTTTTTGTATTCATCTCTTCCTAATTAATAAATAAAACGCATCATTCTTCGTTGTGCGTTTGAGGACACAGTTGGTAAACTTCAACCAATCACTCACATCATGCAGTCCTGTCTCAGTTTTGCCCTATACAGCATGAAGCAACTGGACCAGGCTGGCATGAAGATTTGATTGCCAAGTCACAGAAACCATAATGTGTACGTGTCTTCGTTTTTGTATTCTTTGATTCCAGTCCTTGGTATACTGTAGGCACCCAATGGAGCGTGCGTCTTGAATGGCTGGGGACCCTGCTTCCTCCTGTTCCCATTAACCCAACTCCCATCAACCTCTACTGCTCTCCATCATTCATTCTCCCCATCGATCATTCCAACAACGAGCACTCTGAAAAAAGCCATGTTCCTCCTCCACTCTCAGCACTTAAGTCAAAACTCACACGCTAGCTTTTCCTTCTGTAAGTCGGCAACAAAAAAATGCAAGTAAATGACTAAGCGAAATTCAAGGCGGGCACAATAGAGTCTGAGTCCCTCCGCCACCGGTCCCAGACCCCAGACATCCACCCCAGCTCGCTACGTAGGGACACCCCTCTCCTAGCCAGCCGGGTTCCCAGAGCCCGCCCCCCTTACCCCGGCCGGGGCACTCACTGTTCTTGAGGAAGCGCTCCTCGTGCAGCACGGCGATGGCATTCACGCACAGGAGAGCCGCCTGCATCAGGGAGTACAGCGTGAAGGCCATAGTTACTTCAAACTGTCCCCAGGCCCGACTTACTTCTTCCCGGACACCGCCCGGGACGTGGCGCCGCCACCTACCGCGTCCAGCTACGGAAGCCCGCGCGGCCCGAAACGCGCTCACGGAGCAGCCCCGCCTCCGCTTGTATAGCCCCGCCCCACGCTTAGTAGTCTGCCAAGTCACTGACCAGGGAGTGGACCACAAGGAGTCTAGAACACAATACAGTAGTCATTCTCTAAGGACAGGGGTTGAAGAATTCACATGTAAAGTATTGCATAATTTTAAAATGTCCTTTACATTTTGAAGTAAATGTTTTTCGAACTTTTTTTCTGCCTACTTTTGCTTGTTTGTTTAATTTGGCTGTAAGATATGAACCACCCTTGAGGCTTATATTGTGTTTCTGTTGAACCCGCTGCCCCACGTTTCCAAGACTGTGTGAAAAGTCTGTATTTAGATTTTACCTCTGAAGATGTGAAGACCATCAAAATGTTTCTCTGTGTAGCCCTGGTTGTCCTGAAACTCACTCTGTAGACCAGGCTGGCCTCGAACTCAGAAATCTGCCTGCCTCTGCCTCCCAAATACTGGGATCAAAGGCATGCGCCACCACTGCCCGGCATACAAGATAACATCTTAACATTATTCATAGAAAAACATTCTCTCCTTAATCAGACTCTATCCAGAACGGTAAAATAAAGCAAATTCTTTCAAATTCATGGCAACATGTGAATACATTAACGTTTCTCACAGTGATGGTTGAAGCTCTAGTAAGATGATGACCCAGCTCTCTCAACAAGTTCGCCCAGTGCCTTGTTGTGGGAACAGGAAACCAACAGAAACAGGAAGTGATTGAAGACTATGGGTAGATGGAACGGAAGTTGGAGCATGCAGCCAGAGCAATTCGTTCCTGCTGTGTAAAATTTTCTTACCACCATAAAAACGAGGTTAATCTCTCTGGGCTTCTGCCACTTTCACTTATATAAAATTAGGTGATAATAATCTCTGAGGCCCTTTCCACTCCAAAAAATCTACCAAAAGCAGTTTAAAATATAAGATAGTGGACCAGGCAGTGGTGGTACACGCCTTTAATCCCAGCACTCAGAAGACAGAGGCAGGTGGATATCTAAGTTCAGTCTAGTCTAAAGAGTGAGTTCCAGGACAGCCAGAGCTACACAGAGAAACTCTGCCTTGAAAAACCAAAATTATAAATAAAGACATAAACATGAAAAACTTTTACAAAGGGGCTGAAGACATGGGTCAGCAGTTAAGAGCACTGGCTGCTCTTCCAGGGGTCTTGAGTTCGATTCCAAACATCCACATGGTGGCTCATGACCATCTATAAATGGATCTGATGCTCTCTTCTGGCACGCGGGTGTACGTGCAACAGTGCATTCATTTATAAGATAGTATACATGCTGCACTGCTGTATTATTTAATTCATTAGTTCTCAAAAATCCGGGCTTGTAGCCTAAGCAGTTAATAGCAGATTATATCCTTTAAGACAACTGTTGCTTTATTTTCAAAGAAATTCAAAAGCCTAGAATTGTATTATATATATTTAAAAAGTAGAGGTTATAGTTTATTTACTTACCTTGAGACAGGTTCTCACTGTCTAGTGCTGGCTGGCCTGGCATTCTCTGTAGACCAGGCTGGTCTAGAACACACAAAGATCTACCTGCTTCTGCCTCCTTAGTGCTGGCATTAAAGGCTTGGGCCACTATGCCAGCCCAAATTGTTACAATTTTTAAAAATCTCTCAAAGGACCTGGGTATGGTGACTCATGCCTTTAAGTAGGGCACTAGGGAGGCAGAGGCAGAGGTGTAGAGGGGCAGAGGGGCAAAGAGAGGCAGAGTGAGGCAGAGAGGAGAGAGGCAGAGAGGGAGAGGCAGAGAGAAAGAGAGAGGCAGAGAGACAGAGAGAGGCAGAGGCAGAGGCAGGCAGATCTTTGAGTCTGAGGTCAGCTTGGTCTACACAGGGAGTTCCAGGACTTCCTAGGACACACAGAAAAACCCTGTCTCAAACAAAACAAAACCATTTAAAACAAACAAATATCTTTCAAACAACAACAGGTAAAGACATGTGTTAGCCTGCATTTTTGAAGGTTGATTGTTTTAAAACTTGCTGTGGTTTGGTGCTGAATTTCTGATGGATGTTTGAGAAGGTTTTATGTATTCCTGTAATCACCTTATCAGATGTTTTTGCTGGAGGTGGGACTTTGTTTTTTACAAGGTCAGACAGTGATAACCTTTCATCATTTTCTCCAAGGTGCTTTGTTTGTTTGGGCTATTCTTTCTGGGCTAAGAGATAACACAGTTTGCTTTCATACAATTCTTTATCATAGACTTTCTTTGATACTAATTTGGAACTACTAATTTGGAGTCTGTTTTTATTTGCTTGACAAGAATCAAGGGCCTGAGGTCTTCAATAACCAATTTGTTTCTATCTGCAAGGGAAAGCAGTAGTTAAAAGTATATATGGGATCAGGCTGGAGAGATGGCTCAGTGGTTAAGAACACTTAACTTGGAGAGGACTGGGTTTCGTTCAATCACTACCAAGGACACGAGCATCTATAACGCTGGTTCCAAAGGATCCGACACCCTCTTCTAGCCTGTTCTGGAATTGCACATATGAATTGCACCAATATACATCCAGGCAAAACTACCCATACCCACAAAATAAAAATAAATGAATCTTTTAGAAATAAACTATATATGTCTAGAATAATCCTCATATTTGGTTTGGATAATGAATAAGTGAATTTGGATAAAGGATAGATGGAGGTTTTTGTAGAAAAAGGAAGTTATAAGGTTCAAACTTGACTGCTATATATGATTTTTTATAAGTGATAGTTTTTTCTTTATCCCACCTACCTCCCAAATAAAGGAAGCTGTGACTATTAGATTTATTTAATCAAGCTTTACAGCACAATATCTGAACAATTATTAATCTATTCTAATCCTGTAAAATAATCTGGCTACCTCTCAGGCAAAAAAATCCCCAAGATTCTTGCATTTTAGTGTTGATCTGGCTGCCCTACTCCAGGTGCGTTCTGTGCAGTCTCCTGGTCCTTCTCCTCCTGGTGAATCTTCTCTTCCTCCCTCTCTCTTCCCCTCCCCTTGCTGAGCTCAGAAGTCTGGCCCTACTCACTCCCCTGCTCAGTCATTGGCTGATCAGCTTTTATTGACAAATCAGAGAATAGATGGAGAGCAATGCTTACACTATATTGAGGCAAGACGTACAGAAATCAGCATTTAATCACCACCACTACCATTACCACCACCATCATCACACACACATACACACACAGGTACACTCACACATACATATTCACACATATACATACACACACACACACAGACACACACACACATACACACACACAGAGACACACACATACACACACACACAGACACACACACAGACACATACACATATACACACACACATACACACACAGACACACACATACACACACACACACAGACACATACACACACACATAATTTTTACACTGTGCACAATAGCAATATGGTCACTGACAGTGACACTGGTCATCTGAGCTACGTTCGAGGACTTGGTCCTTATACACATGAGAGATTACATTTACGGAACCCACTTTTCTTCTTTTTCCCACTTCCTCTTCCTCTCCCTCTCCCTTTCCTTGTATTGATGCCTTTAATTTAGAGTTGTCTGATCTTTAACTTGAGGTTCCAGCTTTGGCTAAGACTGAGGAGAAAGTGATAATGTGGCTGCTTTGAGTAGAGACCTCAAGAGACCGTCAATATGCCTGCTTTCTTTTTCATGCTTTGATATTGTTAGAAACAAACAACACCGACCACTTGGATGAGCACCACAGAACAGGTCACAGCCAAGACCCCCTCCATCAGTCATTTCCTGTCCAATCTCAGACCCCTGAGAATGAATGCTGGTAGCTTTAAGTCAGGAAATTTTAGGATTGGTTATTCTATGGTACTACTACCCAGTAGGCTTCTTTTGGATCTACATATGCTTACTTTCTTCTAATGGTCCCAATACAGTGGAACTCAGTGATCCTGGAGGCTCACATTTACTTTACCCATTCAGAGAACACTCATCAACTCTAGGCTGATAATTCAGCTGACTACCCATCCTCCTTGGGTATCTGTTAGATATTTCAAATTGACCTTGCTCCGAACAGAAACAGACTTTTCTTCTCAAACTGACTTATGCGTCAACTCATTTGAGTGAATGGCAACTCCAGACTGGAAATGAAATTTTCAGCATCATTACTGACTCTCTCTTTTATTTATATATCCTGCATACTACCCAGCAGTTGCTCCTGGTAACTTTAACTTCAATAAATACTGTGTTTTAAATGTTCTCTCCAAAATCTAAGATGAAATGTAACCGACTTTGTAACTTACCGTGTGTGCGTATGTGTGTGTGTGTGCGCGTGTGTCTGTGTGCGTGATATGTATATGTGGTGGGTATGCATGAGTTTGCAGGTGTAGATGCCCATGCTTATGCAACTAAAGCCAGAGGAAGAGGTTGGGTGTCTTCTATCATTCTCTGCTTTATTCCCTTGACACAGTCTCTCATTGTATATGAAGCTCAGTTAGGCTGCTGGCCAGTGAGCTCCCAGGCTCTGTCTGTCTCCACCTCCAACCCGAGGTTGGAGGCACAGGCAGTTACAGGCAGGCACAGGCAGGCACAGGCAGGCACAGGCAGGCACAGGCAGGCACAGGCAGGCACAGGCA